GCGGGGCCCCCTGCCTGCGCCGGCCGACTGAGCAGGGCTGCGGTGTCAGGCCGAAGGGGTCACTGGGCCGGGGCTCTCACAACAGCTGAGAGAGAAGCCAAGCCCAGCCAATATTTTGCTGGAATTCCCCCCAAATCCCCCGAGAAACCCTGAGGAGCTGAGAGAGAAGCCAAGCCCAGCCAATATTTTGCTGGAATTCCCCCCAAATCCCCCGAGAAACCCTGAGGATCCCTGGCACACACAACTCTAGATGCCTCATTTCCAGCCCTCTAGAGAGAAAACACCCAGGGGGCATCTGTTGACACTGAGCGAGGCCTGTTACATCCAGTCTGGGCCACACGCCCTTCAGATCCAGCTGGAGCTTTGGTATAACCCCTGGGACGCCCGTTTGTGAGGCAGGTTTACGTTAACGAGCTTTTGGGTTAATGGGCAATGACTGTTTTGCTTGTTATGGACATCAAAGAGAATGTGCTGTGACCCGCAGGCTTTTATCTTAGTCAAACAGGCTAGAGCAGTGCTGCGCGGCTGTTCCCATGTGCAGAAAGGGCAGGCGCGGAACGAACTTGGGCCCAGACCCGCCAAGGAGCCAGGAATACAGTGACTGGCCTCTCCCCTCTTGCTGGCTGTCCCTCAGTGGACCGTCCTATTGCCCCCAGCGCTTGCTGCGTGGCCCAGGAATGCATGGCCGTGAGGGTCCGCTGAGCGACCGTAGCTGCATTTCAGAAACAGGACTACGCTGTGACCAAACAACCAGGAACCGGCTGATGACGGTGGAGGAACCCTGACGTCATGCCGCAGTGCGTGGCAAGGTGTAGCACAGCTGTGCTGCCCTCCGTGCATGCCAGCCAGCCACAGGCCACGGGCAGCCCCTCAGGGTTATACGTGTGGCCCCGAGACGTTGTGTTACCTTTGCTCACCCACAGGGTTGCCAGGGTTCCCTGGTTTCTGGCCATGCAGGTTTTCCTCCCAGTATTACAAAGGTGACACACACGTAGAGCCAGGGCCGGTGAGGCGAGGGCAGACTGATCGCACGCCCCTCCGCTGCCGCGGCCCCGTCGGCACCGCCCCCACGTTCTAGGGACGCAAAGGCAGGGAGCAGAACCGCCCTAGCCAGGGAGACCGTCTTGGTTCCAGCAATGTTGTGGCCCCTGAGATGAAGGAGGCCACTCATGCGGCCCACTCGCTAGCCTAGGTTGCCCATCGCTGTGCTTAGTGGTACCCGATCTGCAGACTGGGATTAGGTGGGAATCAGCCAGGTGCACCTCTGGGAGGGTAACTGTCTTGTCACTTAGCCTCAGTCTGCCGCCAGCGTACTCACTGTCGAATGGCAGGGGCGGCCCTCCTGTGCGGGCAACGACACAGCACATCTGCTCCTCTTTGGAACAGGACTAGCTCAAAGCGCGCCAACCAGTTGGGTAGCGCGTCAGTCAGCGCCCGTGGTCTAGTCGTTCACAAGGGCGTTCTTTCGAAATAACCCCCCGTGGGTCGAATGTGTAAACAGAGCGTCCACACGACCAAGCCTGCTATTTCGAAATAAGAGGCTGCTTATTTCAAACTCTGTCCTCCTGCTTTCCTCGGGCAATAACACTTATTTTGAACTAGTTCTTTTGCAATAGCCGTCATGTGGATGCTCCGGTGCTGCTATTTTGAAATAACCACCCCCAGAGTCATTCAGACTAATTACTTTCCAGTGCTACCTGGGGCAATAAGTCGAGGCAGTGTGTCCACATTAATGGAGCCTGCCTTAGACTAATTTCCAGGCTTCCCTATAGAGGGGGCACGCTATATCGAGTCCCTAGTGGCTCTGGGCCTCAGTTTCCCCATCTGTAAAATGGGGGCAATATTGCCACTTTTGTTTTGTCCCCTTAGCCTGTAGGCTCTTCAGTGGCATAGACAATCTGACAACGTGTTTGCATAATATCTAGTGCAATGAGGTCCTTAGCTCAACTGAAGTCTCTATAACCCACCATAATACACATTAGAAATAGTTTCACATGCCAGACGTGCTCTGTCCCAAGAACACTGAGGTTAGACGGAAACATCACAATTGAGTTGTGCCCATGTTGTCACAGGGTAAGTCCACTCAGCCCCTGCATGCCCAGGATGGAATGTGCCCAGTTGCTTTGGCCGGCTTGCATGTCGGCTGGATGCCGGAGGCGGTTCTGTGGCGATGGCATGTTCAGCCCAGACGGGATCTCTGAACAATGAGCTGCTGTGCTTGCACAAGTCCCTGCCAAGCGTGTCAACTGAAAGCATTTTCAGAAGTGACCACTGTGGTCAAACCTGGGTGGATTTCCATAGTGACAACAAACAGCACGTCCGTGACCCGAGGGCAAAAGTGCCTGCCAGATTCCAAGCCTGCGCTCCAAACTAGATCAGTGTTTCTTAACCAGTGGGATGAGGACCCTTAGGGGTACTTGAGAGAAGTCTGGGGGGCACGCAGGGGTGGCCCTAGACTAGCTGCCAGCAACTGGCGCCCTAGGCGAACCATGCAATCGGCGCCCCCACCGCCAAACCCCTCAATGATATTCCGCCGCCATTTGGCGCCCCATTTAACTCGGCGCCCTAGTTCGCCTCTATGGACGGGCCGCCCCTGGGGGTACGTCAACACAACGGAAATGTGGAGAAAACTGAATGCTTGTTTTAAGTTTTACAGCGCTTTATTATTTTTGTACTTTTTACACCCAGAAAGTTCATCACCCACCTGGCCACGATTAAATTGTTTAAAGAAATGTGTTGCAATGGTAGAAAATGTGTGTGTGTGTGTGTGTGTGAAAACTGTAGGTCCTGGGGGTACTTATAATGTTTTTAAAGGGGTACTTTATAAAAAAGGTTGAGAAACGCTGCGCTAGAGCTTCTTGGCGAAACAGCCGCGTGGGGGTGTGTGTGTGGGCTCAACAGCGTATGCCCCTCACCCCGGGAAGTGCGGGAACCCTCCCGCGGCCACGGCCCACGCTCTGTCCGCAGGCGGCGGGAAACAGGGAAAGTTCCCGTCCAGCCGGGAAAGTTTGGCCTAACTGTGGGCCGCTGTGAAGAGGGGCTGGAGGGGGCGTGCAGGAGACTGGGACTAAACAGAGAAAGCAAGGCGATGAGCTATGCAAGGAGCATGCGAGGCCCAAGCGCTCGGGCCGCGCGGTCCAGGCACGGAGGCCAGCAGGGAGCACGAGCTGCTCTCCCTGCCCTTGCGCTGCGCCGCGCAGAGTGCGAGGACTACACCTCCCAGCATGCAGCTGGCTGAGCGGAGGCCGTGAGCCGCCGGGCTGGGCGCCCCCACGTGGCCGGACGCTCCGCTACACTGTAACAGCTGGGGGGATGGAGGCTGTTGCGGATTCCGTGCCCGTGTGAACCCCGCGGCGGCGGCGTGACTCCGGATTTAAAGCAGGTGAGTCGAGCGCAAGCTCGCACCCCGGCGAGTCACGGAGAAGGGAGGGCTGAGGATCTGCGGGCGCTCGCGCGGCAGCAGCGCCTAGTGGTTACAGCCCGTCCCAGGACTCGGCCCTGGCCAGACGAGCCATGCCCGATTGCAAAGCTTAGCGGTAGGCGAGCCCCAGGGGGTGGCCCGGGGTGACAGCCGTGGGCACTGCGGCAGAAGCGGCTAGTTTGGTAGCTGTGTCTGGCCCAGCACTTTCGAGAGGAGCTGGGCGAGCGGGGGCTCTGCTCTGGGGGCAGGGGAGAGTTGGCGCTACACAGACACAGCCCTTCCCCAGGGGGGCGCAGGCCTGCCCCGTGCCCGAATGGAGACCGAGAGTCAAGCCGTCGTCTCTTCCCTGTCACTGGCCCGCCGGACAGCCACACGGCACCGAATGCCTCCGCGCGGGGCGGCCACGCACCAGCCCCCTCCCCAGGAAGGGCCAGGCCACTTTGCACATCTTTGTGGGCTCCAAAAGCCAGGACTTGATTTTTAACCCCTTTGTGCCTTGTCATGCACATAGGCGAAGCGGCGGTAGCAGGGACGGGTTGTTTGTGCCGCACATTTGTCCCTCGGGATCGCGGGATGTCCAGCCTGCCACCCTCCTCCAAAGAGAAACGCCCCCGACACCTGCGTCCCAGCAGCCCCCTCCTGCTGCAGCCTGCCTGCCTCTCCCTTGGGACTGTCGCACGCTGCTGGGGGCCCCGCAGGCTCCTCCGTCGGGAAGTGTACAGACCTGCTTCTTGCGTTCTTCCCTGCTCCGGGCTGCGTATGCCACCGCCTGCACTTTCCGCTAGCAGGGCTTACAGAGGAATGGGACCCCATTTGCTCCAGGGTCTGTGTGCTCCGGGCCGGGAGTCCCCTGTTGGCTCAAAGTTCCTACAACATCCCCATTGAGGGGCCCCTGAGAGTGGCTGGGTTGCAGCTCCTTGCCCTGTTGCAGTTTTCCCGGCAGGCTCCCGGGGCCAGGCCAAAGCTGCTGTCCCCAGGAGCAGCTCTGGAGGAAGGTGGCAGTGGAAAAGCCGCTTGATTTTCTCCCCCTCCACTGGGGGCGTGGATTGGGGCCAGGAAGGGTGGCTGTATTGGGTTAAATGCAGTGTCTCCATTAGACTGCCATGACCTTCCCCTTCCACACAGCGTGAGCCCCCGGCGCAGCATGGCGATGGGGGCGGACAGTGGGAAGGCGAGGTCGCCCAGCCGGAGGATGGAGGAGACCGGGAAAGCCTGTGTGAGACTCTCCGGCTGCTGCAGATGGAGGTGCCTGCGGGGAGCGAGAGGTGGTGCTCGGTACGTACGGTGCCAGGGGAGGCCGCGCTGGGGCCGCACGGGCAGCCAGGAGGCTTGCACGCCCACAGCGCACTGCCCGTCCAGACCCAGTGGCAGGCCCAAGGCCGAGCTCCATGCGGGATCTGTTCAAAGTATCGACTCTAACTAGCAATGTTCCGCGCATTGCGCCCGAGCGGGGGGTCAAACGTTCCCCTCCAGTGGGACCAGAGGGTTTATTCGCACAGCCCCTTTGGTAAAGGCATGGCAGAGCTAGCTGTAGCCAAGAACGGTCTCTCGGGGAAGCTTGGGAGAAGAAGGTATTTTTAGAGGCTTGATCTTGCAGCCTGGAAGTCGGCGAGTTGCCGAAAGCCAATCAGGCCTGAGTGGCGGCATTTAGGTGTAAAACCACGCTTGCTTTTCAGAGCAATCCTGTGTTCAAACCCACAGCTAGGTCTGATTGTTCAGGCCCAGCTGTCTAGCGGTGCCTCCGTCTCGCTTGGGCCCCGTGATTTTGGGCAAGCAAACACTAAAGTTGCGTGCACACGCTGGGCCACTAGAGATCTGCTCAGCTCACGTGCCCACGCTCAGGGCTATGGGTGCGCAAAGCTGCGGCTGAAGACTTGGCATCCTTTCCCCAAAATGGACTCAGACTTGGCTCTGTTTTTTAGAACCAACCGGGCAAGTGGGCCCCTGGAACTCTTTGGTTCTGTGTGAGCTTCTTAGATCCTTTTGCTCTCTTGGTATTAAAAGAGGAACGTTTTGAGGAAACAGCGGCACTGGGAGAGAATCGTGATGGCGAAGAAGAAGAAGAGGAAACAGGAGAAAGAGAGGAGAAAAGCTAAGCCTGCGGAAGATAAAGGTACAAGCAAACTGAAAACGGGGAGGCTGGTGAGCAGCTGCAGATCTCGTTTCTCCTCGTGGCCTTGTCTCCGCTGCAGGGCAAAGCGGCAGCGTGTGGCATCGTGCTGTGGATGCAGCGTGCATTGCAAGAGTAGGCCAGCTTGGGTGGGTTTTTTTAGGGATATAAAAAGCAGCTACAGTAAGTTACTGGTTAAACAGCTAACACCTCACCAGGGGATGTTGCCCCCCCAGAGTGACCCATGAGACCCTCCCCCCCACACCACCAGAGGGGTTGGGGGGCACAAGGAGCCTGAGGGGGCGGGGAACCCAAACACAGAAATATCAGAGGTTGGGGATGTGGCAGGGATGTGTTGCCTGTCTGTCCGGCCCTGGCTCCAAGGGCTCAGGAAGAAGGCCAGGCCCCGAGATGTAACGCAGTCCTACAGCGATTTGAATTCCCTCTTCCCCGCGTCCCTCTGCCTTCCAGGGGCTACTCCCCACCAGAGCAAGCGCGTTTTGAAAGCCACCGCCAGGGAGCGGCTTCTGGCGGCCAAAGAGGCAGCCCCTCGGCTGTGCATCGACCTGAGCATGAGCAGCCGCATGACGAAGAAGGTACGCGCCGCTCCACTCCCCCCGCCACTCGCGAGCTTCCGGGGGAGGGGGCTCTCCCAGCCTGGGCACCCGCACGGCTCTGGAGTCGCCTGGACGCCGGTGGAAAGTATTTAGCAGAGACCCGCACAACGGTCCCGCTAGACTTTCCCCTCCGCGTGTGGAATAAATTCTGTTCCATGCATTGAGCGATGTGCAGCTGTGCACCACCCGTAGAAACACGCTGCTGGCTGGGGGAGCTCTGCCAATCAGCTGGGTGCCGCACGAGCGCTGGACCCGCACCACTGCACGGCTCCGCACCAGCGGGTCCCCATTGCGGGACAGGGCCTGGCGGGGAAGAGCGCTCCATTTCCATGCGTCCATTATTGCAAGGTGGTGGTTCTTGGTTTCCGCTGTGGAGCTTGCCCGCTGCAGACCCCATGTGCTTCCTTTTAAGTAACCCAGAGCAGAGCGCATGGCGTCTGGGTGCTGGCTGGTCCGGCAGCATCTCCGAGTGCCAGGGGCTGCAGTAAAGCAAAGGCCGTTCCGTGGGACAGCCCACGAGGCACCGCGCTCTGCTCCCGTGTAGTTGCTGCTTTGTTCCCTGGGGGGATCCGACTGTCCCTCCTCCCCCGGCCTGCTTTGTACCCGCGCCCCGGCTCCTCTAGGGCCACTGTCTCCCGAAACGCAGCGCACAGGGTGCAAACGGGGGCAGAGCAGAGTCCCAGCGCCCCCTCCCACCCCTGCCCCACCCGGGTCTCCCTCGTCCCTCACGACCGGCCTTTGAAACACCTGCCTGCTCCTCTGCATAAGGGAGGCGCTCAGCAGCCTCCTCCGGCCGGGCCGCGGTGGGAGCGGTGCTCTGGGCCGGAGGGGGCTGGGTGAG